AGCGGGTACTCCATGCTTTTGTAATTTCTTGGCTTGATTACTGCAACTCTCTCTATGCAGGGTTGTGTCAGTCATCACCATGTTCGGCGCCTTGGGCTTCCTGACAGGGTTGCGGATGGCGCTTTATAAATAAAGCTTTGATTGATTGATTGATTTGTAGCAAAGCAGCAAAAATAAGAACTGTGCATTCAAAGTTCTACACTTTGAAAATATTAACTGAGATGTCATTTTAATTATATGTCAGGACCCTTTTTCATGAGCTGAAATCGGACATCAGAAACTTTGTCTACGTGCACAAAACACCCATGACTCAAACATTGTTCTGAAATCTGTCTACATGTGTGTTAGTGAGCACTTATCCTTTACCGAGATAATCAATCCCACCTCACAGGTGTGACATATCAAGGGGCTGATTAGACAGCATGAATGATGTATTGGTGTGCCTTAGACTGCCCACTGCATGCTCATCATCCTGATCGGGGTCTGGACCTGACTGCAGTCCGTCGTAGTAACTGACTTGAGTGAGCAAACACTCAAATTTGATGGCGTTTGGCATGTTGGAGAGGTGTTCTGTTCACAGATGAGTCCCGGCTTTCACTGTTTAGGGCAGATGGCAGACTGTGTGTGTGGCATCATGTGGGTGAGCAGTTTGCTGATGTCAACGATGTGGAACGAGTGGCCCATGGTGGCACTGGGGTACTAGTATGGGCAGGCGTATGTTATGGACAACGAACACAGGTGCATTTTATTGATGGCATTTTGAATGCACAGAGGTAACATGATGAGATCCTGAGGCCCATTGTAGTGCCATTCGTCCACGACCATCACCTCATGTTTCAGCGTGATAACACACGGCCTCATATTGCAAGGATCTGTGCACAAATCCTGTAAGCTGAAAACATCCAAGTTCTTGCATGGCCAGCCTACTCACCAGACATGCCACCCATTGAGCATGTTTGGGATGCTCTGGATCAACGTATACGACAGCGTGTTCCAGTTCCTGCCAATACTCAGCAGCTTCAAACAGCTATTGAAGAGGAGTGGACCAACGTCCTACAGACCACAATCCACAACCTGATCAATTCTATGTGACAGAGATGTGTTGCCCTGCTTGAGGCAAATGGTGGCCTCACCAGATACTGACTGGCACCCCCCCCCCCATATAAAGCTAAACTGCACATGTCGGGGTGTCCTTTTATTGTGGGCAGTCTAAGGCAGACCTGTACATTATTCATGCTGTCTAATCAACCCCTTCATATGCCGCACCTGTGAGGTGTAAAGCAAAAGTGCTCACTAACACACGTCTAGACAGACGATATTTGAGTTCAGCTCATGAAATATGAGAGCAAAAACAAAAGTGTTGCGTTTATATTTATTAACATCTTGAGAAACTGTTCACTCACTGCAATACTAATAACTGATATAATTTTCTGTTACAAGACTGAGTTCAATCAGTCAGCTCAAACTTCTGGTTTTATTAGTGTCATTCAGCTGCAGAAAGTCCATGCATGTTTCACAAAAAGTCTGGATGAGAACTCGGGCTCAAGTCTTTTTTTTGTCTAAAGTATTAAGGAGCCACCTCAGAGGGGCCGAAGAGGCACAAGTAGGTCCAGGGCCACAGAATGTAGACCATTGTTTTTGTAGGATCATAAAAGACTTTCTGAACAGGACCGAGTGGGACCCAAAACACACCCTTGGCTATCTAACGTCTAATAATAACGGTGCATCAGATAAGGTGGTCTCGCCTATGCAGGCTGCAACAACACAAGTGCAACACCATAATCGAGAGAATGGAATAATGAAATGCAGAAAAATCTGTACAGAAGAAGCTGTGCCAAGTTTGGGTTGGAAGTGCCAAAGTCAAAAAAGAAATACCTTCAAAGGTGGAATGACAAGACTAAGATTCTGTAAGCCTCCTTGATTCAAACTGACAAAGAGATATGTGATGAATGGAGTCATTCCAAGAAACAGCAACACAAGGAGAAGGACCATGAGAAACAAAGGAAAAGTCAAACGTTAAGGCTAAGATAGTGCCAGTGGTCATTAGAGACCTTGAGGCTGTGACACCAAAATGAAAATGGCTCCAACAAATTCCAGAGAAAATGTCAGAGATCTCAGTTCAACCAGCAGAAAAACCTTAAGCTGGCAGATTTCGCCAGAACCTATAGGCTATATGCACATATACACGCATGCAGATATTGACAAGGATACACAATTACAAGAGTTGACCGTCACTGTTTTGTGATATTGAGCAGCACCATCATGAACTATTTATTGGAATATATTGTCTTCATTCCTTTGCACAAAAGCAGAAAGATTATTTATTTATTTTTCATCTCAAACTAAAACCTAGAGAGAAATATCTGGCAACAAATACAAGGACCTGGTGAGACTGATCTGTTTAGACATTTTGGAGTCCTAAACTGAAAAGGCCTTGATAGTCTCCTTTTCTTCATTTCTTTTGTTATCCGTTTCCTTATCTTTTTTTATGACTTTTTTGTACTTGGCATATTAGAGTTATATCAGTCATATATGAATAAATGTTCATCACAGCTGGGATAAAGTAGCCATGAGGGCAAGGGTTTAATTAGATGCATTCATTGGTTATCACTTCAGATTTATGATGCCCTACTTCAATCAGAGTCTAATGAAAAGATGCAACAACCCTTCATATCTGATGCATAAGTATAAGACATGAGATAATGCTGCCACACAGAAAAGCAACAACAAAGGTGTAAATGAATTATGTAATGACTCCGAGGAAGAAATAGATGAATTTTGAGTAATCTTATTGTCCCTGGCTTTGGTTTAAGGCTTTAATAATAATAAAATAAGAAGAAAATTATATGGAGGATGAAAATATGTTCCAGCCATTTTTAAGTCTGTTTCTGTGTAAAAGTTAATATTTTCTATTGCTCTGCTTTAAAACAGCTCCTGCTGGATTACTACTCTGCGATTTGACTTTAACAGTGATTTCTGATTACAAACTACCTATCTAGCCTAAAAATCTGAACAGAGTAGCAGAAGCAGGCACTCCAATATACAGGCACCTTATCTTGGTGCCTGTATATTGGAGTTTACGCCGGTGAGAGGGTGAAGAGAGGCGCAGAGCTGTCAAGTGACCACTACCTGGTGGTGAGTTGCCTTTGGAGGATGCCGGTCAGCCCTGGCTGGCATGAATATCTTGTGAGGGTCTCCTGTCAGAAGGAACTTTAATTGCCACCTCTGACAGAACTTCGGAAGGGGGTGGCATTTGGTCCAAGCTTTTATTGTTGAGGTGGCCGCCTGGAGCTGTGGCCAAGTCATCAGGAACTGCAACCCTCGGGAGCATAGGATACCAGGCCATCTGATATGGGCTGTTAGGTCCTTGTAAAACTGGTGTCAGGGCTTGGTCCGCATTGCCGGCAGTAAGTCGGGCTCTTTCTCGATAAGAGTTGGACTCCACCAAGGCTGCCCTCTGTCAGCGATTCTGTTAATTCCTTTGATGGACAGCCAAGGTGTTGAGGGGATCCCTTTTGATGGCCTAATGATTGGGTCTCTGCTTTTTGCAGATGATGTGGTCCTGTTGGATTTATCAGACCATAATCTCTGACCGGAGCGGTTCACGCCGAGTGTGAAGCAGCTGCGATGAGAATCAGCTCTTCTAATTCCAAGACCATGGTTTAGATTCGGAAAAGGGTAGAATGCCTTCTCCAGGTCAGGGACAAGGTCCTGCCTCAAGAAGAGGAGTTTAAGTATCTCGAGGTCTTGTTCATGAGTGAGGGGAAATAGGGATGTTAGAAAACATCGATATGGCATTATATCGTGATATTTTTTCCTGCGATCATTACATTGATATTCAAAAGCCGTGTATCTAATTCTTGAAAGAATTTACATGCAAAAATTTGTGTATTTTCTTTTCGTTTTGTGCATTTCAATCGCCACCCGCTAGTTGGCAGCAGTGTGCAACAGGTTTTGTTTCCACCATTGAAATGTAAATCCCTCCATCATGGTTCAGATACCTCATGTTAAACATGTTACATATCAGTTTGGACTGTTTATTGAACATTCTTACAAAAAATTCAGTTTAAAAAAATTACTTGTAACGTCTGACTGATTGTATCGCAATATATCGTGATATATCGTATCGTCTCCTCTGTATCGTGATATGTATCAGATCGCCAGAATTTCAAAAATGCACATCCCTGGAGGGAACGATTGATAGGTGAATTGTTGCAGCGCCATCTGCAGTGATGTGGGGCCTCGTGCCACTCTGTTATGGCATGGAGAGAGCTGAGCCGAAAACAGAGCTCTCGTTTTCTCCTCATTTGGTAAGAAAGCAGATCAAAGGGATCTACTGACTACAAAAATAGCAGAGTGAAGAACACTGCCATGAGAATCCAGGGTGAGAGCTGGGTCAAAGGTCACATCAAGAGATCAAGAGAGTCTCTGACTTTGAGAACCAGCTTCTCTGGGGCACAGATGAAGATCTCAGTCTTATCTTCATTCAGCTGTAGAAAGCTCCCAGCCATCAAGGTATTGATAGAGTCTAAGTACTGTATAGGAGTGGACACTGCACCAGTGAGGTGAAATCACCAGAGCACAGGTGATGAGCTCCGCGGAACGTACCAGAGAATATGAGCAGACATTGCACCATGGTTGCAACACTTTGAGATTGTTGCTGTAACACTGCGCAGGACATAGCTGCCTGGAGCACATCAAACATCAGCGCTCTGCCACTCTCCATCCTCTCTGCTCAAAATAATTGCCAGTACGCTGAGAGTCCATATAAATACAGTATTGTAACATAAAAACTGAATCTGTTTCAGACTCCCCCTGGTTGTGTAAGTTGAAAGCTTCTAGAGGAGCCTCTCACTCTTTCAGGGGAGCTGAGCTCCCCTTAGCTCTCCTGTAATTTGAGCCCTGGCTGAAGCCTTTATAGAACATAGAGTGCAGCTCACTGAACTGTAAGGAGAAACTATTATGGTGACTCCTGCTTGAACACTTTGATGTACACTCACAGAGCAGCAATTCCCCAGTGACCTCCACATTTCTTCCCAGCCTCAATAAACAGAGACAGGCCGATGAGATTGATAGTAGGAGCGATAGCCAGAGGGCCGATATATTTCAGCACAAGGCCCAGCAACCCAGAAAACCCTAGGACAATTTGGAGCAGAGAGGAAATCAGGATGGCTCCTTGGATCTGTGGAAAACAAGAAACAGTTTATGTAAACTTATTTGAAACATGATGAACATTTTTTTAAATCATGCAAAAATGTATTTCTTGTTTTCTTTTTTTATAGCATGCTTTATGACATTAAAAAGACAAGTCTTATGGGTTGGGTTACAATATAATGACAGAACCCTCCAACTCCAGGGGTGGGGCTGGGGGGTGGTTGTGGGGGGCTGGTAGTTGGAGGTTCATTACACCAGGCTACAATATAAAAGCACAATGCGTGCACACCAGCGCCATTCCCGCCCCTCCCACTCGAGTCGGACCAGGGTGGAAGTGGTGGGGTGCATGTGGTTCGGGGGTCACAAAGAGGGGGGCCGGCGGGCTGCTTATTGAGTACCACTACTGTATAGTCTATATGTATTTAATTTGGTATAATACATATATTAGGTACCTATTTACTATTAATAAAGTCTATAGTTTTATACTGTTGAAATCTAAAATGTATGCAACATTTATTTTAGGTGATAAGGTTTTTATGTTCATTGCTTCCAGAGGTGTGACCAAGTCACTTCTTTGCAAGTCACAAATATTTCCAGTCAAGTCTTTAGTCAAGTCCAAGTCAAACACAACCAAGTCCAAGTCAAGTCCAACATTAATGATGTGGAAGTCCAAGTCAAGTCCAATTCCTTAACCATGAATTTTCAAGTCATCTGTCCAACTTCAATTTAATGACAATGATAATAAATTCCAGAAATAATGCATCTTAAAGCTTAATTTGTTTGCTCAAACAAGCAGAAAGTGGAACTGAAATAAAAGCTGCATTCCTTAATTTGAAAAACAAATTAGCTTAAAACGTTTGTTTTTCATAACAACATGCTAATGTAGCATAGCTATAAACATATTGTGGAGATTAAATTAACATAACAATAATAAAGTGGTTATTTGGAATTTGTCTAAAAACCTCAACCAGTCGTTGTTTTTTGTCCAAAAGCAATAGTTGGACAACCCATTTGTCTGTTTCGTAGAACCACAGCATTTCTGCATGTCTCTGTGACCTACATTTTGTGCACAACACACATTTTCAGCAAAACACGCAACCAGACATGAGACACTCAGCCGGACCGGACGTGAAATGTTCCTGATGTCAGAGAAGAAGAAATAGCTGAGCAAAAATAAAAAGATAAAAACAGCCATCCATCTGCCCTCCATCTCCTTCACATCTTTAGGGGGCAGATCTGTGGCCCCTCACACTCTATATTGGATGCTCCTATAGAGAAACTTTACATAAACAAGCGCGTGTACGCATAGGTGCTCACATGGTGCTCTCAAAAGTATGGACTTGGGCACGTTAAACACAGGTCTTAAGACTATGGTGGGCAGTTAATGCACTGTGATTTATTATCGTGTGATTGTTCAGTTAAACAATGTTGATTTTATATTATTATGGTTTATTTTTGTGGAACCCCCCCCCCCCCCCCCATCTTTTGTCTCTTCAATTCTCTTTCCCCTCTGTCATGTCTGGTCAGAATTACAAAGCATTCAAAAACAATAACAATAAAGTATTAAGTATCAGGCGTGACATTAAAAGCAGACGCTTTGATGCTCCACCTGAGAGTAAATCTGTAAGGCTTGTCACCAGCATTCAGACATTCATTGTTTGCTTCATAGCCAGACAGGACACACACAAAAAAAGAAGAAAAAAAAAGAGAAACCTTACATAAACAAGCGCGTGTACACACACAGGTGCTCACATGGTGCTCTCATAAGTATGGATCTGGGCATGTTCAACACATGTCTTGAGGCTGTGGTTGGCACTAAATGCAATGTGATTTATTATCGTTTGTTCAGTAAAATAATGTTGATTTTATATTTCCTCATCAGGTTGACGAAGCGATAGCTTGCTCTTGTTGTATTGTTGTTGTGTCCCTTTTCTGCAGGTCTACAAGCAGACTGTTGTTCATCACTGATTGTTTATTTTTGTGGACACCCCCCCCCCCTTTTCTGTCTTCCTCTCTCTTTCACTCTTTTTTAAGTAAGTTTTTTAAGTTTTAAGTATCAGGCATGACATTAAAGCCACGACTGAGAGTGAATCTGTAAGGCTTGCCACCAGCATTCAGACATCAATTATGTTTGCTTCACAGCCAGACAGGACACGGGAAAAAAATAAATAAAATAAATAAAAAATCAAACAGCCGGCAGAGGTAACACTTTAGATAAGGTACGCCAAATTGTGTTTCATTACTAGGGAATGACTAAGGGGGGAATGAGTAATGAAGCAGGGAAGAATTGGTAGTTAACCAGTAGTTACTGGTAAACATCCAGCAGTCTTTTTCATTATTGTGGTGAAATCACAATTGGTGAAGTAGAATTTATATCCAACCTACTTAATACAATAAATTAATTTTTGCTAACTGTGAAATGGGTTCTGCACACCTGTACACAGGAAGAAAAGAACCTAAAAATAATATAAACTATTCTAAACTAAACTCTAATGTTAAAAAATAAAGAACCTATTTCACTACAAAACAAGAGGCAACTACAATATTTGACTGACAAAATCATAGGAGTTGTTCTGTCAGATAGCTATTAGCAGTATTAGCTTGTTATTTGCTAATACTAGCAGGCTACCATGCAATTTATTACTATTGAAGCTGAAAATAATCCCTAAAATGATTAAAACATACTTCGTTACCATATGGACAAGTAAAAATTGATGATTTATGTTAGACGTTTATATTGTTTGTTTTTCACTTATTGGTCATTCGGCCATATTGATTCACGTGAACTACGACAGGTGTTCTGCTCTCTGTTTTTCACCGTGGCAGAGCGCGTTCACATATCCGGAGGGGTGTGGCCTAAGGATTAAACCCGACGGGAGGGGTGAGAGTTCTGGGACCGTGTTTGTGTAAGCTAGCTAGCTGGGCCTTGCTTGTTTCAATATTTGTTACAGCTCCTTTATTTATAAACAAAGTGTTGCTGCATTTAACAGTACAAAATTAAACCCAGAACAAAGAATGATTCATGATTTTTGTCCATGTCGTGCCATTTCGTGCTAAAATATCAAATATGCTCATCATCATTAAGTCAACAGATGCAAGTTGATTCAAGTCGCAAGTCATTGGCATTAAAGTCTGAGTCAAGTCGTAAGTCTTTATTGATTTTATCAAGTCAAGTCAGAAGTTATTAAAACAATAGTCTGACTCGAGTCCAAGTCATGTGACTCGAGTCCACACCTCTGATTTCTTCCTTACTCAGTTCTAAGTTTTGTTTTCTTTATCAGTCACCCACAAGTTTACAGACATTCTGTCCCACCTTTCTTATTAACATTGTTTGATTTCATAGAGGTTTGTAAACATTTGTTTCTGCTCTACCACAGCACATCTGACTGGGCCTTTACTGAACCTCAGGTCATTGATCATTGTTCTGTTCTATGAACCAGTTTTGTCCAGACTTCAGCTGTTAGACGGACCCACATCAGGCTCTAGAATACCCTGGCCAACAGAAGGGTGTGTGATGGACTCGCCGACTGTAAGGCTAAAATAATGGGCCTTATTTGTCCATTGTCAACAGTTTTTCAGCTATTTCAGCAAATTTAATATTAAACAGTCAACTTGTTCAGGACCTGCCAGCTTTGAAGTTCTGTATTCATGTTTTTTTAGGTATTCAACTTTTTCTGCAATAAAGATTGGTAACTTTGTGTAGTGTCATGAGATTGGGGGGGTTATCTTATGACCAATAAAATGTGATGATTCCATATAAATAAAGAATATCAACCACTGATCTTTGAATGTTTAACCAGAAGAATTTAGGATTCTTTGCTTATTCAGTGACCATAAAAACACTTTGTATTAATTTAGACAGAGTCAAGTATATAAATAAAAATAAACTTTATTTTCTACACTAATTATAATACATGACAAGCTATGAATAACGATGTGTGATGAGTGTATGGTCATGTTTGATGGATGTATGTGTGTTGATGGAATGTGATGTAGATGTTTATCAGAACCTTTGTGTCTGAAAGAAACTGAGTTCTGGGTGTAAAAGAATTTGGTCTGCTATAAACTACAGAGTTGATTATCAATAAAACAGCATCAGACACCAGTATGCAGTCTACGATACCCTTGTATGAGTTGCTTCTGGCAGTCCGGAGGTTTGCGGTCAGAATGGTGAGGTCACCGGATGTCGAGACCACGATCCTCAGAGATTAGTAGCTTCCTCTGAGTTTAACTTCCCCGGCCATGAGATACAACCCGGGGTCTACAGATTAGGTGTGATGTACTGTAGCTCTGAAGAGCTATTGTGTCTGTAATCACTTGCAGCACTGTGGCAAGGTTTTGACTTAAGGTCAAAGGAGGCTGTTTCAAAAAGGCTTCTTTCTCGATTTGGCCGAATCGAGGTGTCAGCTGGAAACGGAGTTAATCGGGATGTAAATTCTGTTTTATTACCACCATGTTATGATTCTGGCGAATCAGAATTTGACATGCTTGTAGTTTTATCAACCATCCCTGAGAAATACCCCTTTCCTGATACAAGAATGTTCTAGTTCTGTGGATAAAGAATCTTTATGTGCAGTGATGTTAACTTTAACCTTGTGTCATACGTAACCTTGTGTCATATGTATATGAGAGTATGGTTGATTAACTTGCCACGTCAAGTACACTGATAATAAGATAAATGGATCATTTGCAAGAACAAAATTAATTTCAGTTTAATAGATTTAGCACAGATTATTAAACTATTTCCTTTAACCATATTGTTCATTCATCGTTCATTCTTCATTATTTTAACAGTTCACTTTTATTCTGTGAGAAATCCAGCAGTCTGAGATAAGGGAAAAGCTATTGTCCAAAGACCTTGGGGAAGAACACTTTGTTGACAATCTCGTGTCCTGGAATGTCAACAAGCACTGTAGAATCTTTCTTGGTTCAGAAGATTAGAAAACACACAGAAGTAGATTTATTCCTGTGGATTAAAGGGTCACCATGTAGGTCAAAATGTAGATGAAAATTGACCCTTTCTGGATGTTACAAATGCATTAAAAATGTATGGAACATGTAGACAAAGTAAGCAAGTGGATGGAGCCTAATTAGTATTCAAACAGCATTTGTGCAAGAAACACAATTTATCTTGTTTACATTAAGGTACCGGGTTTTATTTTCCAACTCAACATCTTCTCTAAATGTTTCAACTGACCTCTCGTAATCGTGACATCCAGATCTCATCAGAGTTTTCCACTGACAACGGGCTGGTGCCATTCTGCTCCTGTATGGATGGCGACACAGGTGCATTATGGGTCGGGCACTGCCACGTTGGCAAAGCAAGGATGGCCAGAGTTGGAGTGATAAAACTGAAGGTTCCCCCCTGGAGGATTGGTAACCTGCAAGTCAGTAAGGTCAGGGGTTAAACGCCAGCTATTTGCAGATGAATGTGTTTTGGATCAGCTCAGACTAGAGTGGAAGCTTTTTTTCTTGATGAGAGTTAGCAATGAAAACTTTTCATTTAAATACTTTACAGCATTAGTACAGAGCTACTGAACAGTTTAGAAAATGCACAGTGTAGTGCAGAGTTAAACCTGAAGAGAGCGCAATAATGATGCAATAAGTTATGGGTTGACGAAGCACCTGGGTCTCTTCGGTGTAAAAAAAACAAAAGAACCTGTTATATAACCGTGGTTAGCTTGGTAGTTAGCTAACTGTATGCTAAGCCTTTATGCGTGCGAAAACATGTTCCTTTCTGGGGGATGGAAACGCTGGTCAAACTGGTTGTTTTAGGTGATACTAGCAGCTTTTATTTTATGAGGACATGTCTGTGATATGGTGGTTTTGCTGATCACTCATAAAAAGTTAAGAGGAATAGGTCAAATATCTGTTTTTTCTGTTGCTCAAGACATCCACAAAGATCACAGTGAATCAGGTTTGAGCTAAAAAAAAAGCAAAAGTCTAGAGCGGTAGGCTATGTCTTAACCATGTGAAGCTGGTACGTGATGTGTTAACCCTTTCAGCTCTTCTTAGGGTCTCTAATGACCTTCTGACTCACAGTGATGCAGGGGACTGTTCTGTTCTGGTCCTGCTGGACCTGACTGCAGCCTTTGACACTGTTGACCATCACCTGCTACTGGAGAGGCTGAGAGACTGGGTAGGCCTATCAGGATCTGCTCTGGAGTGGTTCTCCTCTTAGCTCTCTGAGTGCTCCTTTTCTGTGGCCGTCTCCAAGTTTAGGTCCTCCACCACCTCTCTTACCCATGGTGTCCCACAAGGTTCTGTGCTGGGGCCTCTACTCTTCCTCCTCTATCTGCTTCCTCTTCAACACATCCTGAGCTCCTTCAAAGGAATCTCTTACCATCTTTATGCAGATGACATCCAACTGTACATCTCCTTTAAGCCCCATGAGATGTCTAAGCTGCAGCTGTTACACACCTGCTTAGACTCTATCAAAGCCTGGATGGCTGGGAGCTTTCTACAGCTGAATGAAGACAAGTCCTCCAAACACACCCACATCACCCCGCTTCTCCTCCAGCTTCATTGGCTGCCAGTCAACTCCAGGGTTCATTTCAAGATCCTGGTTCTGGTCTATAGGGCCCTACATGGACAAGCACCATCTTACATTGGTGATCATCTTAGTCCCTACACCCCCAGCAGGTCCCTGAGGTCCAGTTATCAAAGCCTACTGGTTGTGCAGCACCAGGCTAAAGACCAAAGGTGACAGATCATTTGCTGCTGTGGCCCCCAGACTCTGGAACTCTCTCCCCCTGAGCCTGAGATCAGTGGACTCAGTGGTCTCCTTTAAAAAGCAGCTGAAGACTCACTTGTTCAGGCTGGCTTTTGTATGACCTTCTTCACCACTCTCTCTTTATTCTGCTCTCCCCACCTATTCCACCTTCCTCAGGATCCACTGATTTCCCTCTTTCCTGTTCACTCTCTCTCTTTCTTAACATTTTTTCTTTTAAATCGCAATTGCTTATTCTTGCTCATTTTAAATATATTTTAAAACATTTTCGAAATGCTTTTTTATATTTTTACAATTTTTATATTTTTTGTTTTTGTGAAGCGCCTCGTGATTTTTATCTTGAGAGGTGCTATAGAAATTATATTTTCTTCTTCTTCTTACTGCAGCCACTCTCCTTTTATTAAATTTCCCCATCTTGTTTTTGTTGCATCATTTTCTAATCCTAGAGTTTCATCGTCTATTTTCTATCAGAAGCTAATGCAGGAGACAGGTGTAGGAGACTATTTTCATGTTCAGCCTGCATGAAAAACTCAGTAATAATAAACCAATAATAATAAAACCGTTTCTCAGTGAAGTGGACCTTTAATAAAAACGTTACATGTAAAACTTACTGTAATAAAATTCTCTTTCACCACGAGTAAATCCAAGCACAGGTGCTGGCGTGTGTTTGCTTTCTCCTGTATACCAGCACTTGAAATGTTTGTGGTTGCACACTAAATAACAACCTGTGTATGCATGCCTCATTGTTTCTGCGCCTGTGACAAGCTGGAGCAAAGACTCATAATTCAGTGTATTTTTTTCTTGCTCAAATAAACATATGCTGTTAGTTTACTGTGTAACATGTGCAGTGAAAATAAAGATTAACATGCTTTTCAATTCATGTCAAAAAGCTTATTTGGATCTATTGTTTGACCTTTAAAGCCTTTACCATAAACTGAAGGTGGAGCTCTCAAAAAACAGCTTAGGCTGTTTGCTTAAGCTTACTGTTACAGCAGGGCACAGGGTTATGTAAAGCCCTGCTCACTGAATAGCTGCATAGTGTATCACTCAGACATAAATGAAATAGGACAAATGGTTCTGCAGATATATGTACTATCAAACTACTTTCAGGATTGTTTACATTATAAAAAGACACAAAGTCAGCTATGACAAAAATGTGTAGCGGATTTGGCTCTTAGGGTCTCCTGAAAGGGAAAGTCATCCTTTACGTGCTTCTAAAACCCTCAGCCCGTTGCAGAGTGACTCACACAGAACAAGCCAGAGGTTATTTGTGTAGGAGGACAGATATTTACTGTCAGATAATCCTCATGAAATTTAAATTCACCACACACATGCGCGCACACACGCGCGGTAGCTTATTACCTGGTCCCAAGAGTTGTCTGCAGGAGCGTACATAATCCTGACACAAAGAATATGGTCGAGATGAGCTGGCTTTTGGCCGCATTGTTGTCTGCTATGCAGAGAGGCTCGGCGAGAATCAGCGGGATTGCTATGATGCCACCAAATGCTAGGACGTAGTGCTGTGGAGATAAACAGGCACCGATTGAATGGCTGAGAGACATTTTCTTTCAGCCAAATTCAGAGCAGCAAATTTCAAGTTCAATTAAATTCAATTTTATTTATATAGCGCCAAATCACGACAAGAGTTGTCTCAAGGCACATCACACAGTAAACATTCCAATACAGGTCAGTTTATTAAGCCAATCAGTAAAAAGTTTCCTAAATAAGGAACCCAGCCAATTGCATCAAGTCACTGACTAGTGTTTGTGCCCAATGGCTCATTGCATGATCTGGGCTGCTTCAAATCAACAAATCCTTTAGTCTACTGGTTCAAAAAACTGAGGTTGTGAACCTGCAATAAGTCATGCTGGAAGTTCCTCTTTGTTTTGACTGTAAAAGACATATCAGCAACACAAAGGTTGCTAGATCAAAAACCATAGGATGTACAGTAGTAATAACTGTAATACATATTAGTGGGCCACCACCAACCCGTCCACGTTTCTAATAGATTTTCCCCGCTCAGTGACGCACCCACTGACAAGCCGAATCTGATCATTGGCAGCTCCATAGTCAGAAACGTGGCATTAGAGACTCCAGCAACCACAGTTAAATGTTTACCTGGGGCCAGAGCGGGCGACATTAAATCTTATCTGAAACTGCTGGCTAAGGATAAATACAGTAAGATTGTTATTCACGCTGGCGGTAACAACACCCGGTTACGCCAATCGGAGGTCACTAAAATTAATGTTGCTTCGGTGTGTAAGTTTGCCAAAACAATGTCGGACTCCGTAATTTTCTCTGGCCCCCTGCCTGATCGGACCTGTGACGACATGTTTAGCCGCATACTGTCCTTCAACCGCTGGCTGTCTAGGTGGTGTCCTGAAAACAACGTGGGCTACATTGAAAATTGAAAAATTTTTTGGGTAAAACCTGGTCTGATGCGGAGAGACGGCATCCATCCCTCTTTGGATGGTGCAGCTCTTCTTTCTAGGAACATGGCCAGTTTTATTAGTCCTCCATGACAACCCATGGTCCAGACAAGGAAGCAGAGTCGTAGTTTAACCCACCCCTCTGCAGCTTCTGTACTGTTACCCACCCCATAGAGACAGTGTCCTGCCCATGGCCAAAATCACACAGATTAAATGTCAGGCTTAATAAAGCAAATCATGGAAATCTCGTAAATATTAGAATAAATTCAACTGAGCAGAAAACTAGAAAAATTAAACGTGGGTTGTTGAACATTAGATCCATTTTTTTCTAAGACTTTGTTAGTTAATGACTTGATTTGTGATAATCATATCTCTTTGCTCTCTCTCACAGAATCCTGGCTGCAGCAAGAGGACTATGTTAGCTTAAATGAGTCGACTCCTTCAAATTATTTAAATCATCATATTGCTCGAAGTACAGGGCGAGGAGGAGGAGTGGCAACCATTTTTCATTCGGACTTATTAACCAGTCCCTTACCAATTAATAGCTACAGTTCGTTTGAACATCTTATTCTTAGTTTTCCTAATCCAGATTGCAAAACTGTAAAACCACTCTTGTTTGTAGTTTTATATCATCCACCAGGCCCTTACTCTGAGTTTTTGGATCAGATCTCTGATTTTTTATCTGATTTGGTGCTAAATACTGATAAGGTCATTGTAGTGGGGGATTTTAATATTCATGTGGACATTGAAAATGATAGCCTCAATGCAGCCTTTAGTAATATCTTGGACTCAATTGGTTTTACTCAAAGAATACATAGCTCCACCCACTCCTGCCATCGTACATTAGACCTTATGCTGACTTATGGCATAGAGTGTGAGGAAATAACGGTATTTCCACATAATCCAGTCCCCTCGGACCACTTTCTGATAACCTTTGAGTTTTTTATAACTGAGTTCTCGAGACATGAAATTGAATTTCACTATAGTCGGTCTCTATCTGACAACGCTGTTGTATCTTTTAAATAAACTGTTCCATCTTTACTGTCCTCTGCATCTCAGAGGCATGTAGCAGAGGGCAATATTTTCAGTTCTAGCCCCTCACAAATTGATGCCATCGTTCATCATGTTAATTCCTCTTTACATGTGGCATTAGATGATGTTGCCCCTTTAAAAAAGAAGGCAATTAGGGACAGGAAGTTGGCTCCCTGGTTTAATTCTCATTTACGAGCTTTAAAACAAAACTCTAGGAAATTGGAGAGAACATGGCGCTCTACGCATCATGAGGAGGCCTACCTATCCTGGAAAAATAGTCTTGTGCTTTATAAAAATGAGCTTCGACAAACTAGAACTGCTTATTTCTCAGCACTAATTGAGGAGAATAAGCATAATCCTAAATTTCTTTTCAGTACAGTTGCCAAACTTACACAGAATCATAGCTCTGAGCCATCTATTCCCTTAGCCCTCAGCAGATATGACTTCATGGGATTTTTTACAAGTAAAATTAATTCTATTAGAAACAAATTCTTTAGCATCCTCCCTAATGCGATTCTTCCTCGGTAAGTGAGACAGCATCAGAGGTGACTGTAGAACCTCATCTGTGCTTGAACCGTTTTGATCCAGTTGAGCTTTCAGAGTTATCAAAAATATTAGCTTCATCTAAACCTTCAACTTGCATTTTGGATCCAATCTCAACCAAATTATTTAAAGATGCATTTCCTTTGGTTACTGCCTCCATTCTAAATATAATCAATCTATCCTTAGTAAATGGATATGTACCACAGGATTTTAAGGTTGCTGTAATCAAACCTTCACTTAAGAAGCCTTCTCTGGATCCAGATGACCCAATGAATTATTGACCAATATCTAACCTTCCATTTTTATCCAAAGCCCTGGAGAAAATAGTGGCCATCCAAGTATGTGAGCATTTAAACACTAATGCTCTGTTTGAGGAATTTCATTCTGGCTTTAGAGAGTATCACAGCACTGAAACTGTGTTAGTGAGAGTTACAAATGATATTCTCATGGCCTCAGATAAGAATCTTGTGTCTGTTCTAGTCTTGTTAGATCTGAGTGCAGCCTTTGACACAGCTGATCACAATGTTCTTTTAGAAAGACTTGAACATGTTGTAGGGATCAATGGAACAGCGCTAGGCTGGTTAAAATCCTACCTGTCTGACAGATTTCATTTTGTAAATGTACATGACAAATCTTCTTCATACTCCAGGGTTACTTGTGGATTACCACAGGGTTCAGTGCTTGGACCAATTCTTTTTACTATATATATGCTCCCAATTGGTAAAATCATTAGACAGCATGGGATAAACTTCCACTGTTATGCTGAAGATACTCAGTTATATTTATCCATTAACCCTGATGAACCTAATTGGTTGGGTACATTACAGGCTTGTCTTGAGGACATAAAAAATTGGATGACTCTAAACTTTTTGCTTTTAAATCAAGACAAGACGGAAGTTCTCATCTTTGGACCAGAAATCCAGAAAAGCTGACCTGAATGGCATTACATTAATCTCTGAGAACAAAGTAAGGAACCTTGGTGTTATCTTTGACCAGGACATGTCATTCAAATCCCAGGTTAAACAGGTTTGCAGGATTTCCTTTTTCCACCTTCGGAATATTGCTAAGATTAGAAGCATCATTTCCAGGAGTGATGCTGAAAAACTAGTTGATGCATTTATTACATCAAGACTGGATTACTGTAATTCATTACTCTCAGGAAGTCCACAGAATGTATTTAAAAGTCTTCAGCTTGTCCAAAATGCTGCAGCTAGAGTTCTGATGAGAATTAAAAAGAGAGATCATATCTCTCCTGTCTTACCTTCCCTACATTGGCTACTTGTTAAATTCAGAATAGATTTTAAGATCCTCCTTCTCACATATAAAGCTCTTAATAATCAAGCTCCATCATACATCAGTGATCTGATTGTTCCATATGTTCCTAACCGAGCACTTCGCTCTCAGACTGCAGGTCTACTGGTGGTTCCCAGAATATCTAAAATTAGGATGGGAGGCAGATCTTTTAGTTATCAGGCTCCTCTCCTGTGGTACCAGCTCCCAGCTTTAGTCCGTGAGGCAGACACTTTGTCTACTTTTAAGAATAGGCTTAAAACATTTTTTTTTGATAGGGCCTATGGTTAAAATCTGATGTTAGCCTAAATCTGGACAAGTGGGGGAGTAGAGGGAGGTGGAGTGTACAGTCTGTAAAGACGGCTCTCCCTTGCCCTGCCTCCAACATGCCTCCATCTAAATAGGCTAGGCTATCAAGAGTTATCTCTGTAGTTATGCTGCTATAGGCTTAGACTGCTGGAGGATACACTTTCCACACATGACTACTTTCTTCTACAATCTGCTCTTTAACTGTATTATTTTCTGCCATTTCAGCTGTTAACTTTATTTTCTCTCTAAGTGTTTTTCTCCCCAGAAGAAGCTACAACGACGTTCTGCTGAGCTGTGGTGGCCTCATGGAGAGGGCCATCGCCTAGCACACTGCTGCTAACCACTAAAACATTCTCCCTCTCCTGATAATAACGTTTTGCTTTCCTTGACGCTGGATGTGCTACTACTAGTTTATCCGTTTAATTATAGATCCACTAGGCTAAATACAATAAAGTTTATCTATCACCAAATAGAATATTTACTAAGAAATCACAATATAACTATAGACACATTACTTTGTCTTTGTGTGTGTGTGTGTGTGTGCGTGTGCGTGCGCGTGCGTGCGTGTGTTTGTGTGTGTGTCTTTGTCTGCCTGCTCTGTCTTCTCAATCCCCAGTGAGTCGTGGAGGATGGCTGCTTATACTGAGCCGGGATTCTCTGGAGGTTTCTTCCTGTTAAAAGGGAGTTTTCCTCTCCACTGTCGCTTTATGCTTGCTTAGTATGAAGATTGCTGTAAAGTCACTGACACTAGTCAGTGACTTGATGCAGTTTGCTGGGTTCCTTATATAGGAAACATTATTTCTGATTGGCTTATTGAACTGACCTGAATTGGAATGTTTATTATGTGAAGTGCCTTGAGACGACTCTTGTCGTGATTTGGCGCTATATAAATAAACTTGAATTGAATTTAATTGAAT